TACTTGATTCTTGATTTGCAATGTTTAAAACATGCATTTCTATTCAAATATCATATTTCATTTTTACAAAAAAGCATGAGGCTAGAATGATTTAAAACACTTGATTCATATTTTTTAAACACTCAACAAATATTTATATTCAAATTCCAGTGCGGAATTCCAGCACGATACCAATACTTCTTCTCCTTAACTGTGTAAAGTTGAGAAGTAAGAAACTCACTATGCATGTGTGGACTGGATGAAAGCCTGTGTTGTTACTACATTTCCAGTATATTGCCAGCATTGTGTGGAAGCAATGTGAAAGCTTCACAACTGAACCTGTGAGTGTGCTTCGCTACCAGTAACATCTCGGCTAATTTATAAAGGTGCATCTTATTATTAAAGTTCTTTACTCTTTACGTGCATTCTTGAGCTATCACATTTGGTTGTTCCCCAAGGTAAGAGCCACTGTCTTGTGACCAGGATCATGCAACTTCAGGCAGGACAATATTCTTGTTACCAGTGCCATGGAATTTTCAGTCGTCCCTGCAAGGTCGTGCAAGTCACTGGAGATCATTCAGCCCAGCCCAGAAATTTAACATGCTCATAAATCTTAAAGCCTTTCCAATCCATATTTTGGGAACATTAGTGACCACTGCCATAGGATTAGCTAACTGCTAGTTTGCCTACTTGACTACCAAAACCACTCACCATCAGATGGAACCACTGTGTACACCTCACGATTCCAGGTACAAAACACCTCTCATTCTTCCTGACTATTATCTGTGATTTGTGCAGACAGGTGGTAATGCATGATTCAGTTGTTTTCATCCAGAAACTGTTAGAGCAGTGTGGTCTATGCATATATTGTATATATATAATGCACTATGTGTGTGCACGTGTTTCCCCAGTTCTTTTGGTCTAATCTTTATTCAATGCCGGGGTGCATCACAGTGAGGTAACCCCCCTTGAGCCTATAGAACTTCATTGATGGTCTGCTGCCTTTTTTCCATAAGCATAGGTGTTTAATGCTCTGCTCTGGGTATGATTGGCTGACTCATGTATGCTGACTTTGAACTGTTAGAATACCAAAAGAAGCTTTGACAAGTAGTGTTATATGCATATTACCTCACTCACCAAGGTTCAATCTTGAATTTGTTGACAAATTAAGTCCGTCAATCTCATTGCACTAATACTTTTGCAGCCACGTCTCATTCCCATATCTTCTACCTTCAGTCACAGGTGGAGGATCTAATGACCTGTGACTTTTGCTTTACATCCCTAGTGTTGAGCATTGTGGCACAGCACAATAACAATTGGCAGCATTCTGCCTGGTGCAGCATTAAAGAATGCCATTCAGAGTATTTTTTTTGTCCCTGACAGACATTCCATCTACAGTATCTATTATTATTATTTCCTATTGGGCCAAAAGTTTGTCTTGCTCTTGGATTTAAATTGGGAGTCATGTTTGAGTGGCCACTCAGTTTTGGCAGTCACATTATGCTTGCTAGTTCCAGGTTTGAAGCTTCTACACGGACATATTAGATCTGACCCCTCAGTTCCCAGGTTTTGCATCGTCTGCACAAGCTTATTTTGGGAGGGATCTGGGTTATCTTGTGGCTTTGACTTGTGAACTGAAGCTTCAGGACTGGAAGTGTGCTGCTCAGGGTCCACTTTCTATCAGTTTTGGGAGTTCACTTTCCATCACTTTTTGGGGGTTAACTTTCCATCACTTTTGGGGGTTCACTTTCCATCACTTGAGCCTCAAGAGGTGCTTCAGTTCCTGTGTCATCCCATCTTTCACCACTTGCTTATGCAGACACTTGCTGAGCTGGTGATGAGATGCCTCCTTTGTTCTTCAGAGCAGACAGGCAAACGAGCAGTTAGCAAGTGCCTGTTGTTGGTAAGTCTCTGTAACCATGAGAGGACTTGGAGAGGCTTTTTGCATGTTCTGTGAATTTTCCTTTGGTTGTCTTACACCTGCTGCATCTGTTCACCTAGCAGTAAATAGGTATTCACTAGTTAACTGTTGTGGGTTGTATAATAAGACCAATTTTTGTCTAGAATGAGGTATCTCTAGAGAGACTCGCATGATATTATGACTGTGCAGGGATGATGTAAAATTTCCTGTGGTGCTGGTGCCAAGAATGTCATCCTGCTTAACTGTGTTGTTAGCATGGTCTTGAGGCACATCAGCTCTTATCTTAGATGGCAGATGGAGGATTCTGCCGAGAAAGGAGTTCTGTAAAGTGTTATTTTCCATAAATTCCTCATTACGATAATTCTTTTTCTCATTATTTACTTCACTTTGTCCCACTGAGCTAGACTCCAATAATATTGCTTCCGACTTCCTTCACTATTCAGTATTAATATTTAAATCCTTTTAAACTATTGCTGTACTGTAATTGTTTATATATTTTACAATTATTATTTGATACCATTATTTTCTATTGTATCTCAACTTTGTTCCTTAATGCTTTGCAAACTTTTCTACTCACATGTAATTGTTACATTTCATTGTCTACAAAGGTAAGATCTGCTGCATCTGTTCAGTAGGACCCTGTATCATGAAACAAGCAGAGGGTGATATTCTATAACTGGCACCACAGGGAATTTGAAAGCATCTCATTAGTCATAAGAAGGTTCATGGGTCAATGGAGATAACTCACTCCAGCCCAGAATGACCAAGAAGTGAAAATACTTAAAATGCAAAGCTATTCCTAGCTATCTTGACAATGCAGTTAACTGCTGGCAGAGAACTCTTACTAACTGCTCATGTGCCTACATGGAAGCGTGAGACTTTTGTCTCAATACTGTAAGAACTATGCGTAAACTGTGCTCATTTATTCTGGGTGGAATTGAATGATCTTAAGTGACCCTCTAGAACCTCAACATGACAATGCTAGAATGATATAAAACTCCTTGTGATGCCAGGATGAATATCATTATCTACCCGTCTCATGATCCCGGCCAATAAATACATTAGATCTTGCCTTATGGGGTTACCAAATGATCTACACTACTTTACTCGGAAAGATGCTTTTTCATTTCACTCAAAAACCTTACTGTATTTGTTTCTGAATCTACTAAAATTCTAGGCATCTCTGACCACTTGTAATATTTTCATTCATATATAATATTATCCATGAAACTGCTACCAGTCTGTTTTAATTTCTATTGGATAGGAATATCTGAGGTATGCTAGATACATTATTCTTATCTGATTCTTCTATTTTTATTAATTTTGGTACCTTAAAGAATGTGTGTTAATTGTTATGCAGCATGATATGTAAACAAATAATTGGTTATTGTATACTAAAATACCATTCCTTATTTGCACTCTAATTACATTTACTCTCCCGTTTCATATTTTATATTAGTCAAGGCATAAAATGCAATAAGTGCAAATGAGATTTAAGAATATCCTTAATTGGAAACTGAAAAATCAAACACACAAGTGCAAAGATATTCCCCAAGGCCTATGTTTGCTATAATAATAATAGACTTCAGTAGAGCATATCTAGCTATTTCATAATGCATAAATATTACATAGTTGACTTTTAACTTGCCTCACCAGATTGAATTCTGGTTGGGTAGTTAAGAACTGTAAATCACTTTTCCAATCTTGAGAGATATACAGGACATAATAACATGAATTTATAATTGATGAGAAATCTCTCCACAGAATTCTAAGATTTGTGTTTTTACATTTGTGGTTCATGTAGTGTTTCTAAAATTGAGAAAAATCCAGCAATGAATGTGTTAAAGTGCCTCTATCTGGTGGGTTACTCAGTAGTTCCCAATGCCCCGGGAAAGCACACAGGCCACTGGGATCCACAAATACCTACCAGGAACCAGGACCAGAATCTGGCCCCTTCTCTCAAAGAGGTGAAGGGGAGCCTGGTGATCAGAAATCACCACAGTACCAAGAAAATCCCACCAGAAAGCAAAACTGCATTCCAAAACAAGCAATTGCTTGGAAAAATTTGCATCCCTGATGAAACAATGCAAATGATCATTATTTTGGCAAAATCACTGCCTAAATACACTTGCCCACTACCAGATGGCAGCCTCAGTGATCCAGGGTTCTGGCCAGCCAGCCAACATGCTCACGACCCCCCTCAGAATCCGCCTCTGACCAGCTTCATGGAATAGGAGTGAAACGAGCATGGAAGGCAAGCGTCTGATTAGCTCACAAGAAAGAGTCATTTCATTACTTTCAATGCTGGATTTCTGGGAGGGCCCCCTCAGTAATTCCCCAATTCTCTCTCTCAATGGAGCCTCTCCAAAGGAGGCATTCATCTTCTTTTGGGGCCATATTATGATCCTGATCCCCCAATGTATTTGAGCCCCAGAGGCCTGATGTTTTTTCCTAGGTTTGTCAACTTCTGGGTTGTAGCATTGGGAAGCTACTGAGGGGGGCTTTCTAGAAATGTTTTGTAAATCTCAAATGATCAAGTGAAATCAAATCTAGACTTGAAAATGTCGATTCTCAGACCAAATTTGAGGGGCCAAACTTTAGAAATAGGGATCAATTTGCTTCATAAACTTTTATTTAAAGGTTGTTAATTAGATTATTCAGCTGGCAGCTTTGAAGAAATTTAGAGCCCTGTTCACGATGCATCCTGATATAAAGCGGTGTTATGCATGTAGAATACCTCCAAGCCAGTTGGTTAGTAACCTGTTTTAGTATTTCTAATGTTAAAAATCCTGTATTAATCTCTTAACGCTTTATTAAAATGTGGATTAAGGTTTCTGCATGTTTGTCGTAAAAATAATTAACAGTTTTACTAACCGCCTGTAACTTTAAATGTTTTGAGAATTTTTAATAATGTTTATTAATCCTCAATAGTGCATTTAAATGGATTAGAATTACCCTCTTTGGGAGTAGAGTTCTTGCTGATCACTCGCTCTTGGACAGGTAATTCTTATCGTAATTGTACAATATGCAATATATATATATGTATGTATGTATATATATATATTCAATACTCGGTAATATTTTGATCAACTTGTTACAGCAAACCAAAATGGCACACCTGGCCGATCTCTTCTCGTTACCGGAAATGTGTCTCCTGAGTCAGGTGGCTCAGTACTTCATGGACAACAACATTCCTTACCATTCAGTGCCGCTCTTCAATGATGTCAAGGCGAGTGTTTACAAAGCTATTATTTTGATCATCATAGGTATGCCTGGAAGGGATGTGTTATTTTGTGCATGTTTCCATGTGATTTCTTGAATACTGTACTCATTGTACTGACTTGCATGATACATGTTGAAAGTTTTAAGACAAAACAAAAATAATAATAATAATTGTGCTTCTTATTGGAATTGGGCCATTATCAAGTTGTGACCATTATCATGGTTCTTTATAATGTCCATCCTGGACCAATGTCACATGACTTGATAATGGTCCAGGACGCACCGAAACGTCATTGTTTTTGTTTTCTGATGTGTGGTTTGGGTCTCGTATCTTCAGCCACGTTAGTGTGACTCGTCTGCATTGGAATTGGGTTATTTTTTTAGATTTTTTACGTGGTTTTTAATGTGATACTGCAAGACTACCTCGTCGTATTTCCTTGATGCCTCCTTGGAAGGCATTTTTAACTACTGTAAATTGTGGCACAGTATAAACAAAATCTTCCCCTACCCCATTCTTCCTTATTTCCCATGGAAGTGAAACCTGGTTTAGATTGCCTAATTGATCAGTTTTCATTTTTATTAGACTATTGTGCTATTTTATATATTTCTAATGTATATTGTACTGTTCTACTATTTCATAATACAGTGGAACCCAGCAGGAAAAGAACCTGGTTTAACCCTTAGGCTGCGACCATCATCAATTGTTGATTCACAGGGTAATACATCGTTTGAAGATGTAAACAATTACTGTCTGGGATTTACTGTACTTACATGATGCAAATATGGATATAATAGATCCCTGGCAGAGGCAGAAACAAATGGGCATAGTTTCTTTCACTCTGATGCCCCTGTTCACCTAGCAGTAAATAGGTACCTGGGAGTTACAGCTGCTATGGACTGCTCCTTGGGAGTGTGTAACAAAAAGGAAGCCTGGTCGAGGACCGGGCCGCGGGGACGCTAAGCCCCGAAATCATCTCGAGATAACCTCAAGATAACCCTTTTAGTACCAAGAGTTGGTTCTTGGTACTTATTTGGGCACAACAACATTTGTGCCCGAATTGTATTTGCATTTATTAATTGGTGGAATGGAGAGCTTCTGCAGCCAATATCAGTACAATATATGTTGTAATTTTTTTTTTTAACCAACCTTTTTTTCAGCTGCAAGTTTAATTATCTGTGTATTTACAGGCAGCCATTGGCAGTATACACCCCGAGATGCATCGCATTGTGGGTCGGAACATCAGTGAATATCTAATCAAAGACCCAAACCTTGTCACGTTTTTTGATAGGCTAAAGAAGCATAATAAAGAAATTTTCATCATCACCAACAGTCCTTTTTATTTTGTGTAAGTATGAGAGTATTGTTTAATGCATCTTATTTCTTGTGTTTCAGTGTATTGATGCTGCATAAAAGGTGCCAAATTTGTTTTGCATCTGCCTATGAATCCATTTTCCAGTTTATTACAGGTATTGCAGTTGGGTAGATAAATATAATGATTACAATCATCGTAATGAAGCATCTTTAAACCTTCAGGTTGATGAATAATACTGTTTGCCATATAGTAAAGCTGTAAGGTTCACTAAAAAGGAACAACATAAATGATATAAAATTGGATGTCTTGTGAGCCGTACCGCCTGATACATCAGTGAATGACAAATTAGCAATTAACTGTGCTTACAAAATAAAAAATACACAGAGGATGAGGTGAATCGCCTGTGAATACTATACTACTACTATAGAGTTTTCAAATATTTTTAAAATCATTTTGGTCTTTCTTTCCTGAAGAATGATGCCTAAATTTATATGAAGAAATGTAAAGCAGAATTTCTACAAAATTTAGCAGTCCATGAAATGAAATCTTATCATTTTACAAGAATAAATGTTCATATATGATACTAAAAAGTGACAAGAAGGAAGATGTGTTATTTGGACCACTACTGCATCCATTGTCCTTTACAATTTTCATAATGTTATCTGCTGAGAAAAAAAAAAGAGGGCCTGGCAGCTGAGTGGACAGCGCTCGGGATTCGTAGTCCTGGGGTTCCTGGTTCGATCTCCGGTGGAGGCGGAAATAAATGGGCAGAGTTTCTTTCACCCTGATGTACCTGTTCACCTACCAGTAAATAGGTACCTGGGAGTTAGACAGCTGCTACGGGCCGCTTCCTGGGGATGTGTAACAAAGAGGAGGCCTGGTTGAGGACCGGGCCGCGGGGACGCTAAGCCCCGAAATCATCTCGAGATTACCTCAAGATGATAACCTACATGTATGCCATTCTTTTTAGACTATGAATAATTCTTTTAACTAATTTTGTATCATTCCTTTTCCTACATGCTGTCCATATCCTGAGCCAAGTTTACCTCCATTTAGAAACTATTAATTATAAAATTTTAGTGCCATATATATGGTAAAACAGGATATACAAAGTAGCTTTTTTTTTGTGCCTCTCCTGTTTAATATTTCTTCCAGACAGTTATATAAATAAGTTGGTAATACCCTCGTCCCATGCCACACCCCCAACTTATTAACATTGAATCTTCATCACCTTTTATTCCATTTGTAAAAAAGTTCCCTCTCTTTATGACTGAGAATGTTTTAGCCATTATTCTCGCAAGATCACTGGCAGCAGTAATCATGGACAGATTGTAATATTTTTGCAGATGTGATGAGTATACAGACCCCTACATATTAATCAAATGCCTAAGATATATTCTTAAAAATTTCCAGAAACGCTGGAATGTCTTACATATTAGGAGAGAATTGGCGTGACTACTTTGATGTTGTGGTTGCTAGTGCCAAGAAGCCAGCATTCTTCACAGATAGCATGAGACCATTCCGTGAACTCAATGAAGAAATCCACATTCAAACCTGGGGACCAGTAACCAGCCTGGATAAAGGCAAAATTTACTTAGAGGTAGGTTTTATTGCAATAATGTACCCATAAATACAAGATAATGAAAATTTTATCCACATTTTTGCCCTATTTCTGGCACTCACTTTCAAGATGCAGATTTAGATGACTCAAGAGTATGTTAGACCCACATCCCATTCATGATTGTCTTTGACCCTTCAATTCTGCATCAAATCTAGGGATGCTGTCACCATTAAGTCAAATTTTCCATCTTGCCTTTTGATTATTTGCTTTACTCTCCACACTGGTTTCTTGGTCAAAGATAAGCCTCCGTGGACTAATTTTTCATTCCCATAAACACAATAGAGCATCATAGTTGGGTTCATCTCTTGTAACATAAGCTATAACTCCTTTCTTTCTGTATCTCATTCATCTTAAGTGCTCAACTCAATGGTCTGTTGTATTTTCCTGTCTTATGTCACATATCATTCATATGGCCTTAATGTTTTGTCGTAAGATAAATAGTTCCAAAGATATTACAACCGAAACACATGATTTTATGTAATTTGATAGTGTTCATTACTAAATATATTTAAGGCAGCAGAGGATAAAAATGAAACTATGTAGTCACATAGGTGATTACCTGTAGGCAATTACTTGGCAATTGCCTGCCTTCAGAGTTGATCTGCCAGGCTCATCTGATGACTCCATCAGACACAAGTTATCTATTCAAAGCTTTTACTGAAATTCCAATGATAATTATTGCATTTGTTGTAATTTCATTGTGTAGGTTTGGAAACAGACTTTCTAGTTTTATCATTTGTCTGTTACAAAACATTTCGCATCCATCCCAAGGAGCACAATTTGAGTGCTTTCAGGCAGTTTAAGGCTGCAATCCAGTGACCTGAACAGAATGAACTTTTCACCTCAGCTCAGTTCTCCCCTTTCCTCCCCCAAGACAAGGCCATCCTTTGTGGTGGTTATTTCAACAGCTACTATCTTCATACTTGTAGTTTTGTATTTATTTCCAGGGAAACTTGAGGCACCTGCAGGAGATGAAGGGTTGGCAAGGTAAAGATGTTTTATATTTTGGTGACCATCCTTACACTGATCTAGCTGATGTTTCTCTCAATCACAGCTGGAGAACAGGTGCAATCATCTGGGAGTTAGATGTAAGCTAACTACTTATTTTTGTTTTTTGTAGTACAATAGATTGGTTTGCCTTGCCTACTTTTATCACATTTGGACATTCCTGGTAGTATTCATGTATGCATTGTTCAGTGGTTTGCATAAATTCTCAAGCTTCATAGCAATGAGCAGTTTTGAAAAGATTTTCATTGCAATTTCACACTAATGAATTTATAATTTTGTGTGTATAACTGCTAATCTTTTTGCATATTACACATTATATTAATTATATGGTTATCTCATCACTACTTAACAAATGTTGGTTAACACACAGAATACAAGTAAAATCTTAGATGTTAGTGCTTTGAAGAAGATAAAAATATTGAAGCCAGATGGTGGGATCCAACATCATCCCTGAACTCCTCCGGCACACACTACACATTGCACTATATTTATTTATTTACTTATTTATTTATTTATATTCTTGTGATTTCATTGGTCCCTGAATATGTTTTGCCCATTTTCAGGGAACAATGAATTTTTGGGGTTTTGTCAGTTTCTAGGAACATCGTGTATAGTATAACCAAAAACTGAAACCCAAATTATTCTCGGTAGCAATGAAAATGAACCTCTAGCATCCGAGCCTTCACCAGGTGGTGGCACCACTAGAAGGCAGGCTAAGCCCCAGTTCAGCATCCCCATTTTCATCTTGATTGCTAGTGGCAGATTAGTAGGCTGGTGTAAATTCTGGCCACACCTAGACGAGTAATCTCGTTAGAAAGCAAAAGAAAATGGAGATAGTAGCAGTGCATGTATAATACCAACACTACACAGGGACAAATTGCTCAGTACACCATCAATGAGTGTGTCAGGCCATGATTTCCAATTAAAGATGAGATAAGAGGAGTAAGATGGAATATCCAGACTAGATTCATATAGGAAAAATGCCTTGTTTAAAAATAATTTTCTTGCATTTCATGCATGGTTAGTGCCTCATTTAAGTTTACAAGAGTAAGGAGTACACATGGAGTAAGATCTAACGACTGCAATTTTGGATTCAAGTATATAAAATATCTAAGCCTGTTAAAAATAGCGTGAAAGCTGTATGTGTAAAACTCATCCTGAAGGGACAAGGAAACATTCTGACTAGAATTCTTAGTTCATTACTTAGAAAAGTTTAAAATAGCTTTAGTATGTGTTGTTGCCTAAATTTTGAATAGAATTCTTATACTAACATGTACTTTCCATTGTTTTGTTAATGAACTTCATTGTCTTCAGATCAAAACTTCCATGATTATCAGTTCTCATCTTGAGCTTGGTTGGTTTAGTTTCATCACAACACAAAGATCTAAGTCTTTTTCCTTTTAAACTTGACTTGAATTTTATTTTATTCAAGTACAAAATCCAACTGGATAAAATATAGACAAGTGAGGGGGGACCTTTGACAAGCTGCCGGCTTCCTGTCCTATTTGAAGCCACTAGAAAGATGATGGCCCTCAGGTAAATCTTATCACCAGCTTTGAGAATTACCAGTTTCTAGTTAGTTTTCTAGGATCTGTTGCATTACAAATAATGCCTTGTTACTGCATCTTTAGTTTTATTTAAGTTTATATTATTTTCAGTATGAGATACAATGCCTCAACTCTGAAGAATACAAGAAAACGAGTGGGTGGTTGATGATCTTGCAGTCTCTGATAGAGAGCAGCCAAGACTTTGAAGATGAGGAGTCTCGTAAAATTATCAAACAGTGGGAAATCGAAAGGGACCAATTAAGGTGAGGATTTTTCCAGTACTGTACAGAGTAAAGTTGATTGGACAAAATCATTGGTAGACCAGGTTAGCTTGCTGGACAAATCCTGATTTAATGGAGTAGGATTTATTAGGACACAGCATCTTGATACTCTGCACCAACTCGGTACATGCATACCAACACTTGAGTTTCTTACCTGCTAATTTTTTTTACTATTTTTTATATTGTTAGTAATAAATATTAATACATTATTTTTGTTAAGGCATGATTTACTGTATTTATACCCTATAAAGTGTATGATGTAGTTTGTACAAGTGACATTTCTTGGCTACTCTTGGTTACTCATACCAGGACCTGTGGACAATTTTAATTAAGAGTTCTCCTAGTCTCTCAGTCTGGCCTAGGTCTAGGCTTTTCTGGTAATTAATTGCCTGGTCTGTTGGATTGTATTTGATGTACTTTTTCTACTCACAACAGAAACATAGAATTGACCCAGGACACTGTTTACTGCCTTTATAGTGGATGGCAGACTAGATACAGCTAGGTCACACAGGGGGCTAGGTGAGCATCAATTAAAGGGCCCCTTCATATCTAGTTACTGTTCTGAGAAATCAGAGATCAAATTTTGACATCAATGGTCATAAATTCAAAAGATAAGTTAAATATGCCTGATGGCATCATCTCTAATGGCTGAAGTGGATTAGCCATTAGATTAATGGCTGAAATCATTAGTTTGTGGAAGGTCCTCTTCCATGCTTTCTGATGATCTTTTCCAGCTGTATTTTGAACTGTACCATTGTTTTGGTATTTATGGCATCAACAGGTTAGAGATTATTTTATGCTGTGGTTAATGTGGCTATCATTGAGATAGTGGGTAAGAATTTTAGAGTAGGTTTGTCACTTGATCAATCAATTGTGTACTTAACCTGAAAGTCAGATGAAAGCATTTAATTCTTCTGTGCCACTTACCTTGTTATAGATGCTTAGGAATTACTTGACAGTAAACCCCATGATCAGAATTCTGGTTGTCCTTCCTTCTGCTTGATACCTGCTTGATGGAGTTCTGGGAGTTGTTGTTCTCCCTCGGGCCAGGCTTGACTTGAGAGATGCAACCTGTATACAACCTTTTCATTTCACCTATTCTGAGACAGAAAAGACTTCTTACAAAGGTAATATCAGAAATCACAGCTAATTGGGTAATAACTTTCCTTTCCCACATTTAATTATAGGTTTATTGATTTATACTAAAGAATATACAATTGGTTGTTATTGCAGGTTTTGGCAGTTAACGGGTACATTCTCACAAAACCAATATTACGCATAGCATTTCCAGCAAGTCTTAAAGCTCCCCCCAAAAATTGCAGTAAATATTAAGTTACAAGGTGAACAGCTAGTTATGAATAAATAAAAAGTGACAAATATATATACATTGATAAATTGCAGTAATTTGAGTTATGATTACAATCGTGTATAATGAGTATTGTATATAACATTAGCAGTAGAAAAATAGGGTAAGAATCAGAAATTATATTGGAGCTCATTAATTGTTCTAATGAGAACTTGTTTCCTCCTCTTGCTGCCTTAAAGTAAGAGCTGTCAATCTTGGTGGCCATGTCAGAAGCAGGGATATATTAGTACCATAGTGCCAAGGCACAAGATGGACATTTTGAGTGACTGGGTTATCCGTAAATGGTATACAGTAATTTGTAATACTGTATATTGTACTGGTACAGTTAATTTCATATGTTTTTCATAAGATAATATTTAACTGTAACTAGCTTGGCATGTTGGAGGTTAATGTTTTTGTTCATTGGTCTGTTTATCTGTTCCTGCTACTTTAATGACACTCTTCTCATCTTGTTTCTTTTCTCTTTATATTATGCATACTCGTCCACTTCTCACTTTGTCCTTTTTTACTATTCTTTCTTGGTACCTGTATTGTGTTCTGGGCTTCCTTATTACTTGCGTGTGGCTTGTTAAAGTAAACTATTTTTGTAACCAGCTGGCTTACCTTTGTTTTATAACTCAACAGAAAGAAGTCAAAGCAGATATTTAATCAACACTTCGGCAGTGTCTTCAGAACTCATGATAATCCGACATACTTCTCCCGTCGTCTCTTCCGCTTTGCCGACATCTACACATCTCGACTATCTAACCTAAATGATTATTCTATTAATCACACGTTTTATCCTCGAAGAGGAGTTTTGCCACATGAATACAAGTCTCTCTTTGTATAATTATTACTGTAGTCATAAGGAATGAAAGACCGGATCTCATCTTTTAGATTGAAGTGTACCAGCCGCTGTGAGTATATACAAATATTTGTGGCTGTAATATACTATTATAATTACTGCATTGTCATTAATACTATTAAACGGTGTGAAAATTTAAGCACTGTATAATAGTTGGTAATAAATATACCAGTGTTCATTGCAGTATTGATAAAAATGTTAAGAGAGCATTGTAGCAATTGAGACTTTCTGAAAAATGAAGTCTTTATTGTAATTACCGTCCACCTATACTCCTTATACATGACAAACTTGAAAGGCTAGAGCTGGGAAACCCTACTAAAACGTATTTGTTTGATAACACTATCTCCAGCCCATTCTCTCTCTTTGCAACTCTACTAAATATTCAACTGTTTTGCCTAACCCGTAACATATGAATCCAAGCAACCCACATAACCTTTCAAGACCATTGCATAGAAAACTTCAATATTCTGATGTTTTAATTTTTGTTAATACTTTACAAATTTAATGGATTTATTGATTACATGAAAAATACAACATACTAGTTGGGACGATGGGTTGTTAGGTATGGGAGTTGGAGGAGGGGAAAGAGTACCTTTGCCTCTGTTCCTCCTCCTCCGTGGGCTAGTAATATGAATGTTAGACTGTTGCCTGGAAGAGATAGCAGTTGGTCAAAATACAGTACAGTGTACATTTAATACCAAATGGTGCTAACATATTGGATTCTAAGCACAAATTTGCTGCTGCATTGACAGGGAGGCAGAGTTGTTGATTTAATGTACATAGCACATATTTTCAACTTGATGATTTTGTGTAGTATATATCATGAACATGCAATAGCCTTAAATCGAGTTTAAACCTACTGTTCAACAATTAATGCCAATTATAAGATCCTTGGAGAATCGGAGCCCTTTGACACTGCTCATCTCGTATCTTTTTGCTCTAGTATTAGCATCCTTGGTGATATTCAAGATCTTTTAAATATCCTGTGACAGATGGTGCTAAATAGTTTTCTCTGCTTGGTGCCTTCTTTTGATACCTACTTAGAACTGAATCACCTCTACCGATCAAGTCACTGAAAACTGCAAAATAGCACACGTCACTTGAAACAGGTTTAATATGTCCAATACTAACAGCCTCTTTTTAAATGTTTGATTCAATTCAGCCTTGAGAGATTATGCACAGAATGGTCTGGGTGGTTAGGATGAAACATCAAAGTGTGGCTGTCTAGCCGATTTATAAGCTTGCATGATTAGGTTGGTATAGTTGATGCAGTCTTGGGCAACGAGTTTGAATCTCACTAGAGCTTGGTGAACATTCTTGGATGTTTCTTCCTTAAAACAGGAAAGCTGACAGGCTACGATGCTTGTATGCTTTTCTTAAAGGATGGGTTTAACTCAACCTTTTAAAGTTGAATCAAGTGATTTTGGCAACTAGACAAAAAAAATCTTAGTATAATAATTTAGTTGCTGGTATGACCTAATTAGTAAAGGTGACAGACAATGCCTCAGTAAGTTTGCTTTCCCTGGATTGGGATGTAGGTTTGAATGCCTTGTCTTAAGTCCCCCTAAACTAGGTATTAATTGTACCTAGTTAATAGTTTGAAAAGTTGTTAGAACAAAGAAGTGGCAATAGCCCTGCCAATTGCATTAACAATTATGCAAGAAAATAGTACAGCTGTAGATTGTATTAGATAAATTTTGTTAGTTTGCAGAGATATGCTTTGCAAAAATGTTATATTTTAAATACGAAGCGATACCACATGACACGGTATGTCGAGAGATTTCCAAGTAGCAGAGATTTTCCCGAGTACATATAGTTAGGTATTATTTTGTATGCATTATGACACTTGATCTTGAAGCCTTAGCACTTTCCTTTGTTAGCCACTTACTACTTCAACATGAAGCAAAGGGCATTTCCATGTTTGTACTGCCCATTTTTTTTCTTTCTAGTTAGTTGGACTGCATAGTTTAGAAGTAAATTTGTACAGACAGTATTTTAGTGTCATGAAAATATTTTGTATAGTTTTAGAACAAGAATTAATCTCACAAAAGATAACTATAGGATTTTACCTGTAATTGTTATAACAATTACTGTAATGTCATTTTAATTTAATTAAAAATTAAATGTGTAACATTCATATTCTATCTCAAATTTAGAGCACATGATTGTAATTATTATTGGTTTTTGTTTTAATATTTTATTTTAAGAAGCAAAACTTCTTTTGACTTGTCTCAAATAGGCAACCATTTTCTATGGGCTATTTTAAAGTTTGTTGAATAACCTTTACTATTTTATGAATTATTATCGTACAGAATATTGACCACCTCTGAAAACTGGACGTTGGTGGCACATAATATTTGGCTGGTTAATGTACCCCAAATAAAATTACTGACCTCCATTTTTTTGCATGAATGATTACAGTAACTTTTTTATATGATTAAAGCCTGAGAACTTTTTGGAGGTCAGACTAAGTATTGAATACTTGTACTTTTTGTATTCAATGTGTACAAGTCGTACATTTATTGGATTTTAATACAATTTTATTAATTGTAACACAAGGATAATAGTTTTGTCAATGTTAATACTTGTAAATGTGATACTACAATGCACTCACTCATTCAGTTTGACCTAGCATTGGTATATTGCATTTCAAGAGCTGATGATGATCATAACCAAGTTAAGAAAGCATGGACCTTGTTTGCCAGTGTATGAGATGCACTCCTATTCAACCAGGTTATTTTGTGGAAATTATTTTTTACTATACATGAACAGTATTTTAATTAGTATTGTTTATTGAATAGTGATTATATAGTGCAACTGCCCTATTACTGTGCGTGTTCTTTCACATAAACTATGACATCGAGCTTAAGCTTAATGTTATAACAATTCATCCTGTTCGCTGGCAAATATGGCAATCTGGCTGACCAATGAACAACATCATGTGACCTAATTTAGCAGGTATATATCATAAGCAATGGGGTCTATGGTGGTATCTTGGGTGGGATACCTAACAAAATAAGATATCAAAGTCTCGCCCCCCCCGTCTTGTGGTAACGAGGCCACTACAACACCATTTGTGAATTGACAGTACCTCAATATTTTTGAGGTACTTTATCTTTGTTAGCTTTTGTCCTTAGTTTGTTTAGTCATATTTTGTCATTTTCTTTTAATTTATTTATTAGTTTCCCTTTTACTTTTGAACAAAATGCCTCCTTTAAGTGTTGACAAATTCTCTGGTGTCCAGAGACTCATGCTAGTTTTGCTAGGAAGTAAGACAACCTGACCTCATTCTCTCCTGGGATGATAATGTGCTTGGGTTGCTGCCAGCAAGCACCCATGTTTCGGGGGGGTTGGACAGAAACCAGCCAAACAGCCGTTTAGATTACTTTTGAAGGGAATGTGTGTGTAGAATTGAGTGTATGTGCATTTAATGTAAGAAATAAATGAGGAAGGAGAGAGAAGGATAAGGTAATATTATGAATGGAGCGATAGATGTGCTAGGTGTTAAGCGAGATGTGTCCTTAAGAGAATGGTAGATGGGGGTAATTGTGAAAATCAAAGTAGTGGTAGAGTTGAGGGAATGGTTGTGTGGCCATGAATGGGTGAAAGTTTTGAAGGTAACAAGGAGTTGGTGGTAGCTTTGTTTACGTCTGAGAAAAAGGAGCACCTGGAGCAAGGGTGGTAGTGGATTGTTTGTAAATACTGTATTGTTGCATTCTTTGCTGAGATTAGAGATTGCAAAATATTGTGAAGAAGTCTGATGTTGGGCAGGGAAGGGAGGGAGTGACTAGTTAACATAGAAAAAATAAGTTTATAGTCATTGAGAGAAGAGTATGGGATGTTATGTATTGTGTAAATCCCCCTTTGTTTTTGTATTAGCATCCTGAGTGATGAGTAGGATTTTTAAATATTCCAAGATACAGTCAGTGCTAAATAGTCTTCCTGGCTTGGGGCCTTTTGATAATTAGTTGTAATTTCCTATTATGTGGCAAGACAGAGATCAAAATTGGTTAGAAAATGGGATGAGGTAGTAAGATTTAAGTAACTTTGGGTAAGAGAGGGGTAATGAGTGGCAAGAAATGTGAATAGCATAAGCAAATGAATGAATGTTTGCATGGAAGCTAAGAAAGGATCGAGGGATAGTATACAACTAATACGGCTATGACATTTAGAAGCAAAGTTTTGGTATGGAAATTCTCTAGTATATATGCAGTGAAAAATAGTTCATGAAAAGTAATTGGTGTATTTGTGTGGAATGGGTATAGCAATGTGGAAATATGATGGATGTGGTACACGTGAAAAGAATAAGGGACTGAAATGTGTAGTGAGAAAAGTGGCATACACTTCTGTATTAACATGTTAGTAGAATGTCTGAGAATTGTTTAACAATAAGGGTGAAGTAAAGGGATCATATGATAGATGATGACCAGTACCTTAGCAGATAGGTGTTTGCGAGTGTCAGGGCTTGCAAGAGTAAAAGGTTTGTGTGATGGTAGTCTCTCCTGGAGAAATTTCTGCTGTGTTGACCCGATAGGAATCTCCCAAGAGGAAGTGAGGTGTTGGGACTATAGACAGATGCTACATGACCTCAGAAGAGTAATTTTATTTTGCAAGTTTATGTACTAATGCAGTTATTTGTATTTATAAATCTTTTATATTTAATGCTTGTGTTCACTGATCATGAATTTGATCAGTTTTATTGATTACATCATAATACTCTGTATTGACTATTTTTTATCTTTTTTATTGTGAAAAATAATTAAGAAAATGCAACTTAATTTTATTTATTTATCAATCTGCAAGAACATTTATCAAAATTCAAGGGAAGGTTACCTGCTGACTTCCCTGGAGCCTGATAATTGGCTCTCCAAAAGATGGCCAACTTACAGAGCTTCATTGTACTGTACAGTTTATTGAAATTATTAATAAATTTATTTTATGATTGACATTCTGTATAAGTGTTTTGAGGTTTAACCCTCGGTTTTACCCTTCATGGTGTAAAGTGATACCACCCTGAATATTGTATTACTGTACAATAAAACTGGTGGTGAAAAAATCTTCATCCTTTGAGTTAGCTTGATTTCACAAGATTAAAGTTATTGCTTTGTGTATAGTAGTATATATAGCTACTGTTAGCTGTACAAAAAAAATTGATTATATAGTTATAAGAATTTGAGATACCCTTAGCTAATTTCTCCCAAACTATTCATGCACATTGAGATACTATAATGCCAATGTTAAAAGTGATATTAAAAGAATCACAATCTAACTGAAGTCCTCACTAAATATAGATTGGCTGGGTCAAAGGTTTTAATGTTACAATTGTTTTTTGAGTGTAAAGTTTTACATGGTGTAGCTATTGAGCCTTGTCATATAATAGGACAAGTGACATGCAAAATACCTTACATATGTACTTAACAGCATTGTGCGATGATTCTAAGGTCACTTTTGCGAATAATACTAGGGAACTGTCTAGCACTCATACCAAGTGATTGTGTTTCAAGTAAGATCATTTATTAGTCATAGATACCATAGTAAACATGGATGCTGGTTGTTGAATTCAAATTTGTTTATTCAAAATATTGCCAAACAATTCCTATCTTGAAAAACCACAGCATATTAATAAATGCTAGACAGCCATTACATACCATCATTGCAAGCTATGATGCCTTTAACATCATAACAAACTACATCATCCAAGCTATCAGGCAAGATCATGAAGTTATCTATTAAATGGTGAGAGGTTGTATCTTCTATTTTCTGACAATAGGGTTCGCTAAACCTATTACTCTACAACAATGGAGACTATTTTAAAGCCCAAAATCAATATCAGAAAAATGTGTACAATATACAGCAGTATATCCCTTTTTTTCTTTCCCCTCTATATCAATGTGCTAAGTTTGTGCTTACTATCAGTGTCTTACCTTAAAAGTTTTAGATGGCCAAAATTTTGATAGCTTGTAGGTATAAATAATTTGTAAATAAAATGTAGGAAATTGACAGATTTGGAAGAGAATGTTCATGTATTATAACCAGTGTCACACACACCAATAAGTAATGTCTGCAACATTCTTCTCACTTAACAACAACAAAGAACATGGGAAGAATGTTACATCCATATAAAGTGGTAAACACAGTAGCTCATATCAAACGCTGTACTTGACTCGGAAACATCAACAAAAACATAACCATCATCTTGACTAATGTGGTACAGGAGTGTATTAAATAACTGCCTTATCATGATATCAAGAATATAAAGAATATTCTTGATATGAAGAATAATATCTGCCTTATCAAAAATATGATATTCTTGATATTCTACAATGAACAGAAAACAATTATGTATAAAAGAGCCTCTTCAATTAAAATGCAAATGAGGAGGACATAAGATTAAGGGAACTACAGAAAGCCTGTTGACCCATTCGAGCCTGCTGCTATTAATATCCACCCAAACTCTTTCATAAATATGTTTAATCTATGCTTGAAGCAATCGAGTGATGCCACATCTACTGTGTTACCTGATAACTTGTTCCATAAAACAACAACCCTGTTTTCTAACCAGTATTTACCCAGGATAATTTAACTGGATAATTTATGCAGTTTACATTCATTATTTCATGTTCTTTTTAATACCTTATTATTATTTCCCGCGCCCAACCACTAGGGCAGAACAGAAGAGCAACGGTCTTGCTTCATGCAGGTCGGCGCTCAATCCCCGATCGTCCAAGTGGTTGGGCACCAATCCTTTCCCCCATCAAATCCCAAATCCTTACCCTGACCCCTTCCAAGTGCTATATAGTTGTAATGGTATGGTGCTTTCCCCTGATAATTCCCTTCCCTTTCTATATACCTAATAATCCACTTGTACACTTCAGTCATGTCACCCCTAACTCTTTGGCTTTCAAATGAATGTAAATTAAGCATTTTCAATATCTCTTCATATGGAAGGTTTCTAATTTGCAGGATTAACTTTTGTCATCCTTTGTTGAATGCGTTCTAGCAAATTTATTCTATTCTATAGTATGGCTACCAAAACTGGACTGCATAATCTAAATAGGGCCTAACAAGAGCAAGGCATATCTGAAGAATAACATTGTGTTTTATTGCTTATTCTTATTCTTTGGTGTTCAAGAGAGAACGTGACAAACATCTCTAAAGGATACCTGATCAACTTCAGACTGAGCAGCTGCGTTTAACAGCCTGATTGACCAGACCACAACCAGGATGCCTGGCCAGAGACCCAGAATCTCCAAAAGGTAACCACAACCTATTTGCCTCATTTCAAACTTTAATGCATTAATTTTTTTGCTTTAAATTCCTACTAATCATGACCCTCAGATCTTTTTTGCAATCAGACTCTGCAGTTTCAGTCCCACCCAGCTATATCTACTAACTCTATCATCATTACCTAATATACCTAGCCTCAGAACCTTACATTTGTAAGCATTAAACTGCATCTGCCACTCTTTCGACCATAAACTGACATGTGTGTTCAAAAGAAATAAAAAGTGAAATTAAAATAGCGTTGACTAAAATAATTATTGAAAACAACCTTAAGTCCAAGCGAGCTCCATCATCAATACAAGATCACTATTACGAAGAAATTTATGGAAGTCCGCATTCAAGATAGGAATCTTGATTGAATCCTCACCACCCATTAGGAAGGGAATCTTTGCCACCCATTACCAGAGGGCCACTTAACACACTTGTGGTCTTGATGAGGACAGGAAACCAGCGGTTTGTCAAAGATCCCCCCCATTTGCCCTGATGATTTTTCCAGTTGGATTTTATAATTATAAGTTTGTATTTATCGCTCTGACAGGTAAGCGGTTCCATGGATTATGGAAGGGATAATCCCTTCCCATTAGCAAGGGAATCCTCACCACTAATTAACGAGGGAATCCTTTAAACCCACGAGGAAGTGGGTGGCGACGAGATAATGGGCTAAAACTAGTACAATATCACTGTTAAGCCAGAGTTGTTAGGAGAGGCTTCCCTAGTGTTTGAATGGTGAACAAGTGGGAAGACCTTGAAGGAGAGTTAGATGAGGCTACCTACATACACCGCTTGATAAGTTCAAGTAGAACGGTAGAGAGCAATAGGTGACAGGCCATAAGGCGCGGAGCCCAGAAGTTCATGCTTGTTTTACAAGCAGAAATATTCCAGTACAGGAATTGAGATACCTGCTGTGTGATGTAACTACAGGCCAGGAACCTCCAGATCTCTGTGTAGATATAGCCTATATTTTTTTTATTCGCTCAATAAGTTGTTAATATTTCCAATTACTATATTGTCATACTGCATTCCACTGTCTCCTGACAATTACATTATTTTCGAGAAAATGTTTCCACTTAAAAAAAAAGATGTTCAAATTACAAATAAATAAAAATGTAAAAATCCTTAATTATTTATTATATATATATATTAATTATATTAATATTATATAATAATTAGAATAATTAGAGATTTATCTTCCCATAGACACCCAACCCATTACATTTATCAAGATATAATAATGGTTTATGTCGACAAAGTAGGGTAGATTGTTGATTAATTTTATTCGGTCATAACCTGTAATTATGCCCTCACTTTAAAAATACCTATGCATAACACGTGAGATTAACTCGCACAAATTTGTGCGTATATTTTATTAATTTGACAAGGGGTACAAATCTCTCTTGCTGTGAATTAATTCGCATAACGATTATGAACAAATATTCACCTAGTCAGAATACCAGCATGAATGCAATACAGTACAAAGTTTTCTATAATAATAATAATAGAGGTACAACCTCTGGTGCAATTGTGGGGACCCATAGCCTCAGGGAAGAGAATAAAATTGAAGACTTTGTGTAGATTCTCCCTGAACACTTCAATATTTTCTAATATCACCCGTACGTTTTTATCGTTTTATACATTTGTTTATATGATATATTTTATATGATATATTTTATCTAACAGTAGTGTAGCCTATCACGGAAATTATACTGTACAGTATATTGATAATGTGTTCCAGCCTGCTCTCAGGGAGTTCCGTCCTCGGCTCGTAGCCTGGAATCCCAGGTTCGGTTCGGGTGAAATAATGACGATTGGCCACGTTTCTCCTCACCTAATGCCTCTTATCACCTAGTAGAAAACAGTTACCTCAGAGATAAACAACTATTGTGCATTGCATCCTGAGGAAGGTCATCAGTAGTTGACATAGGAGGAATCTTGATAATCCGAAAAGGATTCCTGTCCCAACTACGATACCATAAGGTAAACCATATATACTTTTTTTTTTTAACTTTACTACTACAATTTGTTGTCTTAATGACCATAAGAAAAGGACAAAAGCATTTCGATTTCTACATTTGTCTTAAGATATATGTGAATCTCTCTTTTTTCCCTTGATATTCATTGCTTTTAATTTTGACTAGGTTTTACCCAGAATACTTTCAATATACAACAAGCAAAGGATATACTGTATGTGAAGGATCTCCTCATTTCACTTGCATTTGTGCAGGCCTTTTTTAGCGTGCTTGTGTGTGTGCCCTTTGACAGGTGAAATTGAAGTGGGAGAAGAATTAACTCTAGCTACCTGGTACAACCAGTGTCATGTGATGAAGCCAGTCTTGCCCATGAGGAGTATCTGTTGGCGTGTTCATCCACGTTCATACCTGGTGGTTTAGGCCAAAATTCACCATACACATAAGCTGTATTCAACTTTAGTTACTAACACGTGTAGTCTTATACTACAGTGAATGTCTACTAATCAATAATTTTGATTGATAGACTATATATATCTCCATAAACCCCCCCCCTCCAGAATGTGTAGAAAGGAATTTAAATCATACAGTCTGCTATCGAAATAAATTAACGTAAAAAAATCACTATACTGTATAAATTAATATAAATTTGAATTAATATAAATTGCAATAATATATATATGTATGCGGAAAATCCACAGAGAAATATGAAATGAGGTGAACGTTTCGGCTTGTTAAAGCCTTTGTCAACACCAGACTGACTATATGTATATATATATATATATATATATATATATATATATATATATATATATATATATATATATATATATATAGTCTCATAAGTCAGTTTTCCCCACACAAGGCAAAGATGAAATGTAAAATATTCAAGAGTATTACTGAAAAATATAAAATGTGTTTTATGTTACAGCTCTTTTGTGGTGTTATTTTTAAATCCTCCCTTCTCATCAGAAGCAGAACAAATAGATATATTCAATAGACTTAATAAACTGGACACTCTTTACGACTGAGTTACAACATCCTAACTGCCCAATACACACTATCCAAAGATAATTCCCTGAAAGAAATCTTCATATAAACAGTTGTGGTATGTACGAGCACCCATTATGGTGTGCGCCAATTCTGTACATGTATCATAAGTGTTTCCACATCATCTTATAATTTAATCACAAATTACAGCTGAATTGCAAAAATGAACAAATATCAATTCAAAACATGTTAAGTACTAAGAGTTTAATAAATTACTTAAACCTTTGCACGTTACACTTACAAATGTTTTTGCAGATCAAGTATTTAGCGAAGGAACTGTTTAGGGAGTAACTATTCGGATAGAAAATGTTCGACGAGTATCTGTTTGAGAAGCCACTCTCTGAGGAGGAAAAACAAAGCAATCAATCCCACGCCCTTCCCCGAAAGACAAGAACAAATCATTAACTTGATACACCATCATGTTGTAACAACGCAAATTCCTTGCTAGCAGAGGCTGGAGCAGCCAGGAGAAGGTATATATAGGTCCGGAACACGTAAAGATGAGCACCTCTTTTACCCGCATCAGGTTCAACACACACAGTGAAAAAATAGTGATTTTTCAGTTAGCATCGAATACTTCATTCATTATAGTCACATGGAAATTTCATTCATTATATTCACATGGAAAAGGAAATGTTCCATTGTCATAACGTTACATTGTCTTCCAGAGAACAATGCACTGATTATATTACACATCCACTTTTCCCCTCACAGGTCAATGTCGACGGCATTTTTCACTTGGGCCAAATTTTTTCTGCATTTCTTCCATGATTTCGTCGTAGATTTTAGCATTCTTGGCAACGAAAGGATCTCTCCAGACGTCGTCCTTCGCTTTGTTCTTATTCCTCCTCTTGATACCAGGGGCGTGGACGAGGAAGGCCGTGTCCAAGATGACCATGCTGTACTCCCGGAGACACAGCTCGTGCATCTGGTAACGGAAGGCGCACACACCCACGTTAGTCTAGGTTTAGACTAAGGTTTAGTCTAAGTGTCTTTTTTTTTCCCCCCCACACACCTTGCCCGAAACACTATGTGTATTAGTGGCTTTAGGTATTGTATGTACTAGCTCTATCTATAAATCCAACATTATGTTTGTAACTCATTATCTATGTATGTACTTTTACCTGAATAAAAATTTGAATTTGAGTCACTAACAACGGAATACTCTGCGCAACCCGCCCCCTCTTAACTCGGCGCATTTTTTACGGAATCCATCAATCCATTTCTAGATAGAAATCTAGGATTTCTAGATAGAGCGATAGAGCTAAATACTATGCCTAAAGACACTAATATGCTACAAATAAATAATACTAAAATTACACGGCAACATTCGCATAGGCATTACCTATATAACGAAATATTGGGGTATTGGTATGCATGAATAACAGTAGAACAAAGACGGGCTCGATGTAGTATGGATACCCTGTTGTGCAGTCGGCTCACAACCAACTAGACACGAGTTCAACTCCCGTGTAAGGGTGGGGGGGTGAGAAGTTAAGGCACTTCTTAAATATTACACCTCATGTTTCTGTTCACCTAGCAGTTAAATTGGTAGCTATGATCTAGGTAACTGTTGCGGGTAGCATCCTCGTAGAGTTAATCGTTGGCTAAGGTGAATATATCAATTCTTGAAGATGATGAGTCAATAACGTTGCTAAAGATGTGATGACCAAACACCATCTCCACCATCACCATCACAAGATGGTGAAACGACGACGTTTCGGTCCGTCCTGGACCATTATCAAGTTGTACATTCGACTTGATAATATAATAATTCCCTGTGTCGGGGGACAGGAAGCCAGAGTGCATTCATACACGTTAGGCTTGTATCGAGGGTCCCTCCCAGGGTCGAATTACTATACCTCGCCCAGGATGCAACCCCACAACAAGCTGACTAACTCCCGAATACCTACTTGCAGCTAGGTGAACAGAGGCATTAGATGAAAAGCAATGTGCCCAATCATTTCTGTGCCTCCCGGGATTCGAACCCAGAATTCTCGATTATGCTGTCGAGAACGACTCCGACTGTACTGCCGGGACCCTTGCAAGAATAAGAATAATGATCCAGGATGGACTGAAACGTTGCCGTTTCTTCATCTTGTGACGTGTGGTTTAGTCAGTATATTAATCGTTGCTCGAGGAAGAGGCATGCAAGACCTGATTCGTAAATATCTACTGTGTCTACTGGCATTTGTGTAATACAGAAGAAGAGACTTGCAACATACCTGAGTCATCTTGTCCTGGAGACCCTCCCAGGTAAGGCGCTCATCATAAAGGGGCTCAGCCTTAGTACAGATGTAAATAGGTTCCCAGCGGTGGTAGGGGAACTGTCTCTTCACCACCGAGAAGGCCTGCACACCAACACACTCCGTCATAAATATGATAATCTTACAGATAATAGCTAACAATGACGTGGCTGAAACAAGTAACCCAACCCACACGCGTGAAATGAAAGTGGGGAGAAAGCACCAAGCCAGTACGACAAAATAGTACTTGAAAGGGGATATGAGAAGGATTTGGGATAGGACGGATAAAAGGAATGGTGTCCAACCACTTGGGGATTGAACGCCGACCTGCAAGAAGCGAGATCGTCGCTCTAGGGTCTAGTCTAAGTGGTTGGACATATATTTGAAATGAAAGTGACGACGTCATAGTCCGCCCTGGATAAGGGTCCAAGATGGACCAAAATGTCGTCACTTCTTTATTTTCCCATGTGTGTGTTGGGTTATGTGATACTTTTATCATGTAATGAAGCAGTTCTATGAATAAATTAGAAAAAAGTTTTCTCAACAAAAACATCTTCCTTCAATGCTCGACTAATTTACCACTGTTTTATCAATCATCACTTTATCTCTAATAATACAATGACGCGCACTAAACAAACGAGAAAATCAATTGGAGAAACGCGGGGATTCGAACCCTCGACCTGGGAACTCCCAAGCCACACATTTCTCCAAATGATTGTCTCATATATCACATTAATGGGATTTCTTGTGAGAAAACAAATATTAATGCAAATCTATAAGTTTTCACACCAAAGTGACGTAATGTTTATTCTTGTATGATATGATCCAAGCTAAAATTTGTCTTTTTTTCTACTTTTTCCCAGGATTTGATTAATTTAAATCTCTTACTAATAGTTTTCAACCCAATTATTCTTCCGAGTGTCTTATTATAAGCTTTATAATTGCATTAAAAATGTAAGATAAGCTACTAAAAAAAATTAAAACTTACTCCAGAAATACAAATATTATTTTTTAAGAGGTGAGCCTATTTATCGCTCGCTGGACGAGATCTACCAAGCGTTTATGATAACCACCACTGGATAACGAGCGTTTCCTTACGTTTATGGTCTTACTACCAAGAAAAGGCACGGAAACCTCTACTATGAAAAGGCACAAAACCTCACTACCAAGAAAAGGAACAACTCTGTAATGGCTGCATAATGAAACAAAAGTAATCTTCAAACGGAACGCCTTTCTTAGCATCTTAAAAGTTGTCTACGTTGCATTAGACACTCGGGCAAAACCCGCTGACACTGGCTGTTAAAGAAGACCACTAATAAAATAAAACATAGTAATACACATCGAAATTAATCGTCTACCTGCAGAGTGTACCCATTATATCATTCCTGGAAGAGCTCCTGAAACCCAGTGGAAAAACTGCACTGAGTTGCACAATTAACCATTAAACTGCTCTCATGTGTCCGCTACTTTTAGAAATGCGTTTTAGTACATAAATGCACACTTTCTGTAACGCTGAGACGTTATGCAATGTTCACGAATGAATCGTCGTCGGTAAAGATACTTGTATACACAAATGTAAATTGTGAACTTTAGCAACATACCTTAAGAATGCCAGGTGTTCCTGGCTGACGTATCCAGTCTGAGAGCGCAGGAAACCGTTGGCAGTGAGCGCACACATGACGGTGGAAGTACACGGCATCATTCTGCTGATATTGTTGCACCAGTTCTTCTTTACTGAAGGGAACCACCGCTGCCACCTCGAACACAGGCACCACAAACACTCGGGGCGATGCCTCCGCCACTCTTCTCTCTTTCCCGGAATTTATTCTTTGGATTAGTCCCAAGAATTGTTCAACTAGTCCTTGTGATGGATACAGTTCCACGTCAGATGGCAGCACATACCACGTAGGGGCTGCTGATCGGGCCACATTACGAGCCACATTCACTGGGTATGGGAGACCTTCTGTTGTACGAAACCCACGCACTGATGACGTTTTGTCCGTGTCACAGTCAATGGTGTTCTCATCCACTACAAGGTGCCAGTCAGCTGCGGGAGGTGTATCCCGTGGCCAGAAAAGGTGCCACGAAACCCGTTCTTTCACGTCCGGGGGACCACAGACACGTAAGAAGGCCACTCGGGCCGCAGCTAAGCAGAAATCTGAATATGGAACAAATAATGCCACAGAAAGCGGCCCCGTCCAGCGGGCAGCTAACGCTCCTACGTGACTTATCATCTCGGGCGTCGTGTGCGTTGTGTATGTCACCGACTCGTTAGCCGTGAAGGATCGAGCAGCGGCCACCCAGTCATACGCCACGCTGTACGGACTCTTCTCGCCCAGCTGAGGGGAGGTCCGAAGCTCATGCTGCTGGCTTGTAGGTACGAAGGAGAAGGCTGTGCACAAGAGGCGAGCAGCATCGTCGTGTTCACTGGACTTGTCAGTGGTAGCAGAAGGAACCTCTTCGGAATCTTGTGGAGGGCATGCTAGGAGGGCACAAGGTGCAGCTAGGAGCAACCAAGCGCCCACAACCATGGCTGCTCCTATACACGCCCATCGCTGCCAGCGGCGCCAGGCTCTCGTCCACACCATTCCGGGGACTCTCCCACATGCCCACCACCGGCTACCACCGCCCTCACCACCACTCACCTGCAACACAAAGTAATACAATAATATACAAGCACCGTCAAAGATCGTGTCATAAGTTGATGCAAGTATGTATGGACTTCAAAATGACATCTGCAGACCGACCGTAACCATTGAACAAAAGTCCTCCAGACTTCCTGCATAAAGGGGAGTCGGAAGCATTCTGGATTCCCAGTCAATGGACCCGGGTTCTATCCCCGGCCGAGGCAGTAGACTGCCTCTTCATGGATTGCGCACCATTCCTTTCATCTTCCATATCCTAATTCCTTATACACAAAAATCACAATAGCGTGATATATTAAATGAAAAAATCCACAAGGGCTGTGATGAGGTTATCTTAGTTATCTTGAGATGATTTCGGGGCTTTAGTGTCCCCGCGGCCTGGTCCTCGACCAGGCCTCCACCCCCAGGAAGCAGCCCGTGACAGCTGACTAACTCCCAGGTACCTATTTACTGCTAGGTAACAGGGGCATTCAGAGTGAAAGAAACTTTGCCCATTTGTTTCTGCCTCGTGCGGGAATCGAACCCGCGCCACAGAATTACGAGTCCTGCGCGCTATCCACCAGGCTACGAGGCCCCACTCCTGCATCCTGAGGGTTCGAACCTTATCACGGCTCTTGTGGATTTGTTCATTGGATATTGATTTCTGTAAGTATTGAAGTAAGGGCGTAGAGGTAGAACATTTGGCTGACAGAGCCCGGGTGCATGGGGGGGGGGGGGAATTGTGTGAAACCCCGATTGGGCTTGGGAGAAGCTTCGGGATCCTCGTGAGGGCAGCAGCACTCCAGGTTGCAATTCTTTAACCATGTCGTGGCACAGTTGACTACGAACCCGTGCATAGGTTCGAACACTCATCACGGCCCTTGTAGATTTATTCATCAAATTCCTTATCCTTTCCAAGTGCTATATAGTCATAATGGCTTAGTGCTTCCTCATGATAATTACCTTACCTTTCAGGAAGGCCCCAATGAATTACAGGGAAAGTGTTGGAATGGAGAGAAGTAACGAGTGTAGAACACGTCCCGTTCCTGTGACACGTGCACGACGTTATGTATGAAATATGATTATTCATATCAACATTTCCTGACTATTCTAATGATAATGATCAGAACCGAGAAGGACTAAAACAGCGCAAGATGAACTAGTCAATCTCTAGAAGTGGTGTGAGAGGTGGCTACTGGACGTAGACATACAATGTCATTAGTATATGAGCAGGATGACCAAACCTGCGTTGCGGTCCGTCCTGGACCATTATCAAGTCGAAAACAGCACAAAGAGCTAGAAAACGTCCAGAATGTGACGAGGCTTGTTTGAGTCAAGGGACCTGAGCTATGAAGACAGGGAACTGGATCCCATTATTTATGAGTGCACTTATTATAATGGAACACCACAAATGTTTTTAAGAATGTTACCCGTCACACCACACCAGAGGAGAGCAGGCATAGGACGGACATTATCGGCATATGTTCTTTACCGAGTTCTTTATTATGTTCTTATATATATATATATATATATATATATATATATATATATATATATATATATATATATATATATATATATATATATATATATATTATATATATGATATATATATATATATTATATATATATATTTTGGGTGGATATAAACAGGGACGGTCTCGTATGGGGCAATAATTCTTCTTCGGTTCCGGTTATTCTTACGTTCACATGACTTAAGATTCTAAGGGAAACTGATGAAGAAGATGAAACAATGTTCCCGGGGAGGAAACTAGAGGCAGATGAAATAACTTTCTCATAATTAGTTATCAATTAGTGCAATGGCTTAGACGAAGCGCTAGAAGCCAACCCCAATACCAAATTTTATATGTAAACAAAAAACACAGAACACGGTAATGGCATTAAACATCAACAGTGTGAAAAAGTGGGCCAGGAGCCGATACTCAACCTAGGAAACACATTCTAGGACGCAAGGAAATCCTTGAGTGGACGCAAGTTAGCGCAAGGCGGTCCACTCCACACCTTGATCAATAACACAACTGCTATCTACCCCCCTGTGACGCAAACCACTCCCCCTTTGTCCTAATGTACCTTGTATAATGGTAGCGGGTGTAGTCACGCCCAAGGCCATGGGCTACAGCAAGGGGGGAGGGGGTAGTTTGCGGCACAGGGACAGATAGCAGTTGTGTTATTGAACGGCTATTGAAACGTTACGAGAAAGAACACTGTGATGGCAGTGTCCTGTTATCACAAATGTTATAGCATTAATGCAAACACTCAAAAGTCAAGGTCGTCGGATACTTATTAACTGGGTGCCGAGTCATGTAGGAATACTAAGGAATGACACTTCAGATAAAGCTGCAAAACTTGCAACTAAAAGTAGGAATGTTGATATTTACATACCACGTAATAAGATAATAATTAGAGTTAGAGCAATGTTTGCCAGTTTTCTCCATGCTTACTCCCGCTGTTTACCCAGGTGAAATGGGAGTAGGAGAGTGCAAGTGAGGGGGATGGAGGGTTGATGGGAAAGGTGGAGTGTGTGTTTGTAGAGTGGGGAGAAAGGTAGAGGGGAAGAAAAAGCGAAGAACATGGGATGAGAGGTGGGATAGAAGATGTATGTGACGTAGTAGGAAGATTGGGAGAAAGTGGTAAGGAGAAAGAGACCCGTGTACAGCCGGGTACCCCATCTAGTGTACATACACAAATGTACCAATTACACATTAAAGGAATACGCGTGTGTATGCTGCAGACGTAAATGAACGTTTGGTTTAGAGTTGGACTTAAGACCCATCAACCCCTTAAGGCCACTATAATACCTTATTGATTAACCAGCAAGTATACTTTACTCCTGAACATAGTCCATGACCACAACTCTCATTGCATGTATTCACAGAGAAATAAAACACCTCATGGTGTGTATCCTTCCGCGAAGTCGGACGCACTGCGGACCTCGCGGGTGCGTCAGGTCCCGCTGACATGTCATTTACCTCATTGTTGTGTACATTTCTTTTTATATAAATACTATACCTAGTAATTTGTCAGTTAAATGAACAAATAGTAAAAATAAATAGTAATTGTAGTTTCCATAAAATACTTTTATTATTATCTATTTTTGAAGGAAGGGCGTGAGGCTTGTAGAAAGGTATAAAACTGCTGTAAAATAAAACTTTATATCGAAGAGTGTACGATACCATTCAAATTTGTACTAAACCAATTAACATAAAACGCTAATTGCTTATTACAAAACAATAATGTTAAGAACTGTAACACGTTCAATAAAAATGTCAATATAGTGAATTATGAGTCCTTTAAAGGCTGTGAAACCTTTTAATGGTAGTTCTGGGTTTGATTAAAATGCTAATGGCAAAAAACTGAAGTGCGTCAAGCGTTTTCTTTTCAATGGAGTTGTGTCCCTGCTACACACGATCACAGGTGCTGTTGCATAAGACAATACCAATTGATAAGATCGACATCATGGTGAACACAGCGGACGCTTATAGATGTGCACATAGCCTAACGCTAATTCGGAGCACGAACGTGAACGCATGTGAAATGTAGGCTTTTTATTTCACTTTTACTTAAAATAAAAGGTTTAACTACCAGTAGAGTGAAGAGCCGTCATTGTCAGCCACCCCAGACGACCACTGAGGCGAGGTGGCTGCTTGCTCCACAGACCATCGTAAAGTAACCCGAAATTACATACTCTTTCACTCACCTTCAGCTGGACTGTAGGTAGATGGACATTAGTTTTTTGACCGTGATATCTGCTACGCCCGCTAGTGTTTTGTCTGTGTGTGTTATACGTCAACGACCACTAACTAGAATTTTGTCCATTGATATTTGGCATTAGAATTTTGTCCATGCCAGTTTCAGCGTCAACAACTACTTAACAGAATATTTTATGTTAATTTTTTTTCGACGGAGACTACCTTATGGGGTATAAACAAAATCAATCAATAACTTAATTCATAAATATATGACAGTTTTCCCAAGTTAAAATATATTAATGGACCCATACTAAGAAAATAGAAAAAGACAATTTTACGTAAAATGTTTAATTAACCCACTGCATGATTTACACGCGCGAGTAGTTTATCAAAGACTGGTTAACAGCCACAGAGCGCACTATACTCCACAATAGTGTGCCACAACACGCCTCTGATAACAACAGTCCAGTACACAGATGAGTGACGATTGTGTGTATCTCAACACTAGGAAAACCCTTAAGCCAAAACACTGATGTCCAAGAATTATGTCTGGCGCCTATTGCACTAAAATATATAAGGCAGTAATAATGTTCGCTTAAACAAACGCTTTACACTCACTTGAGCAGAATGGTCAGGCGCTTAACCTGTGATCACTGTAGCTAACCTGATGACCACGGGTAAAGGCTCGTCACTGGCGATCTGAGGTACAGAGCCAGAGACCGGTGGCACCGCTTCCTGGCACTCACCTGGGGGTTGAGGGACATGCAGGGGGGCGCGGGGCACTGGTCACCTCGTGGGGCTGCATGCTGGATACCTGGCGGCCGCGGCCAAGGTGGGACACCTTCTGTTATGGCAACTCTCCCGTCTACCGCACCACTTCTGCAGCGTCCGCAAATTTTGCGTCTGGTAAATATGTCACGGGTCTGGCAGGCGCCTCTGCCGCCTCTACCACTCAACACGAGAGCTGTTGTTTATTATCTCGTGATTTGGCTTTCTGGTTGATGTCATTGTTGTAACAAACCGTGTACATGTACGCTTGAATTTTTTGAGGTACTTATTTTCTGGGAACTCTGAGATCAATATCGCTGTACAGACGTTGCTCGCACAGGCTCTTCACGTGCTTCTCTTGCTCGGGTAATCAATATGACTGTGACGTCAGCACTGCCAGCCAATCATAATCTACGGAATTCTCCCGCCAAGTTTTCTTACTGGCAGAAGAGAGTGTCTTCCTCTGCCGTGTTGTAAGCGCCTCTTGGTGTCTTATGTCTTTGATGCGGGGAGACTTTTCCACGCCGGCGATGAACTAGGATTAAATTATAAAGAAAATTAATTCGTATTAAGTATATTAGACTAGCTTCAAAGCTACGTATGAATGACCAAACTACATCCAAGGTAGTGGAGAGGGTTGTGATAGTGGAGGCGCGGGAGGAGGGAGGGCGCATGAGCAACGCCTCCCACCACATATAGTGCCGCCAACCTCAACGGTGTCAACCCGTCAAGGGGGGAACAGGTCAGCTGGTGGTCAAGTCTATACCTCCGGGTCGACTCGGGTCGCGACGCTGACCATCCTGAACCACCTGCCGCTCTTATACTTCTCGCCATACTTATAAGAGACTATAGTAGCCCTGACGTGCGAAATATACGATTTATTAGCTCATAATTTTCTGTCTCATTTCTCAAACAAATTGGTAAATTACCCGTAAGAATGTATGGCATTACATAAATAGAAGGGGAAGGATATTAATCATGGGAAAGTGCTAAGCCATTAAGACTATATAGCACTGGGAAGAGGTCAGGATAAGGATTTGAGATGGGACGGGGGGGGACATAAAAGAGACGCGCAAATATAAAAATATTTTCTTGGCCAGGTTATCTAGGACGGAATATATGGTGGAAGGAATACTGGTCTTACTCTAGCGGCCGTTGTGTCTTGGTGAGGTTCCGAGGGCAGGTGGACGAGGCAGCTGGCCACAGTACTCTAGTCCACAAACACATCATTTTTATGAATCAACTCGACCCCTCTCGAAAGAAAAAGGGAATTGTGTATTTAGCATTGAAGAAAACGGAACCAAGTTAGCTAACCCCCTGGCAACCCTCCCTCGTTGGTTCACTACCAGGGGATACCCCTTAATATTTCCCACTTTTAGGTATCTCCCTAAACCTTCCATCCCAAACCTTCCAACCTCATCTCCAAAATGTTTTCCGCCAACACGTGCCTCCTATTTCCATCTCCCTCTTCCCACCACCCAAAAAGTCCCCAGCACCCACTATGCCAGTTTTCCCTTCTATCTTCACGCCAAAATGAGTTCCCCCTCCCCCATCTTCCCCCTTCCGCCCCCCTCTCCTGAGGGTCCAGCCGCCCCCAGCTCAGACCGCCAGGGACCTCCACACCGAGAGCGTCTTCCAGACCGCCCTCACCCTCTTGGGAGTGTGTTTACATTGACACAGTTGAGTCACGCTGGGCCCCTCTGGCCAGGCTGCCTTGCAATACGGGATGCGGTAAATACCTCAAGTTTCTGAACGTGAAATCAGACGCAAAGATCGTTTCATATGAGAAATAAGGGCAGTTGTGGGGAGGTGCAGAGGGCAACACGTGATGTCTGGGGATCAGTGGGTGTAGTGAAGCACAGGTCGGTGCGTGATATAACCTAAGTGCGGTCATGGTGTTGGCTGCTTCACCCGCTTGTGTACACCACTACTCGCACAATAGCTGTATGGATGATGATCACTGCTCCACCCTCATCATCCCCGAGTGACCGCTACATCTGCGTCTACACACCACCATCATTGACGCAACACTGCTGGTAATGATGGTGAAGACTACACCCGCCCACACTCACCATCACTGAAGCGACAGCAGCGGTCTCTCTACGTGTGTCGACAAGTGAGGCGGTGAGTATTTAGTCAATGTTAGTTACGTGAGCCGCAGCTAAGTGACCCCCAACACACAGTGTAAGGGCGAAGATAACACGGTATCCCTCACCGGCTATCGCAATAACAATTAAAACAAGGCAAAAAGTATATCATCACGCATTTTAACAAGCTGGAGAGACTAATTGCCTCTTCATTGCATTTGTCAACAGGACCGCAAGAACAATCATTACCTTAACAACCAGACATAAACCCAACTCCAGGGACAGCTATTTGTGGAAATCTTCACCGCTGTTGCCTCGTTAGCGAAGCCGTCTACTATATAGTGAAGTCCTCGTTAGCAGGACCGCCCACTGTAATGTGAGGCCCTCGTTAGCGAGTCCGTCCATTATAACGTTGGCGAGGCCGCCCACTGTATAGTGAAGTCCTCGTTAACGAGGTCGTCCACTAGTGTGGCGTCACTGCTAATTCCTAGAAATTTTAGATTTGATAAATAAATAATGTCTGGAGACGTAATCAGTGTAGGAGAGAGCAGGATGATACGCGCCTTGTGTTGTCAGGTGAGCTTTTGTGCAGTGTGCTGGCCGCAACACATTAGAAAATACTGAAATTAGCTATGAGGATGCACAAGGATGTTGTGGAAGCGCGCACACACGCAAACACACACACAAACGCGCACACAAGAACACACGCACACTATGAGAAGATTGCGCTCGCAAGTCGTAGTCCAAAGGGGCCCGGGTTTGATTCCCGGCAGAGGAGGAAACAAATGGGCAGCGTTTCTTGTATCTGATGTCTCTGTTCACCTAGCAGGAAACAGGTACCTGGGAGTTAGACTGCTGTTACAGCCTACATCCAAGGGATTCCGTGCGTGCGTGCGTGAGTGGCTGAGTGAGAGAAATATATGTAGTAGTTATACAACCCGTTCTCGCAAATTCGTATAGTCAATATTGACTTATTAAATAAGTGCATAGGTGACATACTAAACATAATAGATACCCTTAAAAAGCTTCATAGAAAACACCGACCTTACCTAACCTGTTAGTATGTTAAGATAAGCGTCTTATAGCTTCGTAATTACAATTGTTACTTAACCTATTATAGGTATAGGTTAAGTAATAATTGTAATTACGAAACAATAAGATGCTTATCTTAACATACTAAAAAGGTTAGGTAAGGTCGGTGTTTCTATGAAGCTTTTTAAGGGTATCTATTATGTTTAGTATGTCACCTATGCACGTATTTAATAAGTCAATATTGACTATACGAATTTGCGAGAACGGGTTAAGTTATAATTGAGGAAAATAGGTTAGGAGTCGGTACATTACACAACCGACGGTTAGAAAGGCGGGATCCAAGAGCTACCATCACGATTCTACAAGCGTCCAACCACTTGGGCCGGACGGTAAAGCAACGGTCTCGCTTCATGCAGGTCGGCGATCAATCCCCGACCGTCCAAGTGGTTGGGCACCATTCCTTTCCCCCGTCCCATCTCAAATCCTTATACTTTCCAAGTGCTATATAGTCGTAATGACTTTTGAGCTTTCTCCGGATCGTTCGTTCAACCGTAATGACACGCACACATGTCTAATACACACAATAAAGGAAGAGATACGAACCTGGGATACAAAGTGAGACGTGTCATGGGTCCACACAGGTGGATAGGAGCCTTTAGCCCAGAATAAACGTTACAAGCACAGTATTTTGACCGAGGCAACGACTTATCTCCTGGAAGGCGGACATGTGCGTGCGAGCAATCTAAGGGCCACAAGCCTGGGTAAAAGAGAAGGAAATGCGACCCTAAGATCCAGCCAGGGAAGAGGGTATGGCCATATTTTGATCCGCGCAACGCTGGGTACCTTAACGCTCGCTCTCATGTACTCACCTAGTTGTGCTTGCGGGGTTGAGCTCTGGTTCTTTGGTCCCGCCTCTCAACTGTCAAACAACTGGTGTACAGATTCATAAACTTACAATATAGGGTTAAACTAGGGTTACAATATTAATAACAGAACACCAGGATAATCATTTGGGTCACCACATCTACTAGAATATGTCACTAATTGCCGCAGTATCTCTCACAGGCTCAGCTTATAACAGCCCGTCCTCGTAAATAATAGTCAAATGATGTTAATGCAACCGCCAACCCTCTGATGTTTGTATATTAAATTTATTTTGCTCACGACCCCACAACTGATGATGTTCGAACTCTTCTCGACCAGTGTCTCGCTTACTTCCTATGTTCGTGTATCTCACTCTTAAATGCTTCACGCACGTACTGCAAATTCTCCCAGCCGTCCTCAATAATAACTGCCAAATAATCGGTAATCAAGCTACTAAACCTTCTTCCTGTTTATGAACGAAAAGCGCTTTACACTCGACTCACAACTCATGACCTTTGAGCATTTCGAACACTGCTTTGCTGACGACCTCTGTTCGAATAGCAACTCTGTAAATGGTTTCACCCCCACGTACCGTATATATTTTTAAATAATTGCCAACAGAACCTAACTTAACCTATGCCTAATTATACATAAAATCCTAATAAATAATGAAGTTAATTTATATGAGAAAACCCGCTAACACGCAGTACTGATGACTGATCCCAGAGTCTGCCACAGCCTGGAGGAGCATAGGATGGGTTGTCCGCCAAGTTATCACGCCTTAGATATGATTACTTGAAAAAGATATCACCACTTATATACAAATTATATAACAACCACCACTGCACTTGCATACCTTGGCGAGTAAAAGTGAGCTTTTTAGTTAACCCAACCGACGTCCTTCCTCTCTGCACCGAGGCCAAATGCCAACTGCTTCACAGACGTGGTGTCTGCGGCTCAAACACTAGTAACAAAAGCAACTCGTCCTCCACTCAAGTCCATTACATCCGGCGGTCGACCCCACAGACGCAGTCATAAACTTTTACATGCTCTTCATTCAAAACGGGAATTTTCTCAAATATAAATTCATATTATAATATATTAGCATATTGTGCATATATATATTGGCATAGATTAGATTTGGTTAGATGTTTAGGTTCTGTTGGCGATAATTTGTATTTGTTGTACTCACGTTCACACGTTTTCATTCATAAACCCTCTGTTTACGAATGAAAAACGGTTTACACACGACTCACAACCGATTTCGTTCGAACACTTCCGGAACAAATGCTTCATTGACGAATTCTGTTCGAGTTCTCAATGCTTCACCCACGTACTACAAATGCAAGTAATCGCCAACAGAACCTAAACACCTAACCTAACCTATGCCTATATATGCACAATATGTTAATATATTATAATATTAATTTACAATTGAGAAAATTCCCGTTTTGAATGAAGAGCATGTGAAAGTTTATGACTGCGTCTGTGGGGTCGACCGCTGGATAGATTGTACTTGGTCCGAGGACCGGTTGCGGCTAAATATGGGTATATTTGTGTGTGTGTGTATATATATATATATATATATATATATATATATATATAATATATATATATATATATATAATCACCTAGTTGTGCTTGCTGCGGGGGATGAGCTTCGGCTCTTTAGTCCTGCCTCTCAACTGTCAAATCAACTGGTGTACAGATTCCTGAGCCTATTGGGCTCTATCATATTTACATTTGAAACTGTGTATGGAGTCTGCCTCCACATCTGAAAACACACACACGTGTGTGAGTGTGTGTGTGCGTGTGCACTATTCACTTGAACACTGATGAACGGAAATAACCATACATAACATGATGGGTCTCCAGAAATATGACACATGCTCTAAGGACCACTTTACGGGCATTAGGGACTTGGGTAATCCCTTGACAACCGGGCCCAGAAGGTGTGGGGTGATGTGTAGTTCAAGTATGTTTATTGAGACAAAAAAAAAATACATCTCAAAGGGATAGAGTAGCTTAGGCTATTTCTCCCCCCCCCCCCCCCCGGACGGTGTATAGTGAGGACCCTTGCTTGGTCCACCCCCCTGGTTACGACACTCTGTATAGAGTTGTATACTGCTGAAGCGAAGCTTGTTCCACAGGTGTGTATACTGACGGATGTGTATGACATGGACTGCATAGTGCGGCTGGTAATTTCCTTGTGCAGTGATATTAGGGGCGAGGGGGCGAGAAATAATGAGATGAGGTAGTGTGCTCCCTCACACCACACGCCCACAGTGCTCCCTCACACCACACCACACGCCCACCCCACGCACCCAGTGCTCCCCCTCAACCACTAGAGGTGTACCCGCACCTATAATTATCCAGAGTTAGGATTATAGGTTCACCGCGCCCGCCCTCCTCCTCACCCATCACAGCTCCTCCATGAGGTGCTCCTCACCTGTCATGTCACTCATCACTCATCCCAGAAGCAAGAAAGAATATACGATAATAACAATCTGCAAAAACTAACATATCAGTATATCTGGTATACTATTTTCCCTCTTATATATAAAAAACAATTTTTTTTCATTACGCATATTAACGCGGATCAGTGCTAGGCTATTGCATTATAATCCACTATAATGGACTATAGAATACTATTGCTCGCTATAGTATTGTAGTAAATATATAGAAGGTAGGACTATATTATAGTTATAATATAGTAGGATTATTTTACACTTGTGTTTGATACCTAGAGGTTAGAGGTTAGAGTTCAGAGCCTCTAAGGCTCCTGCTGCCTCCTGGCGGCCAGTTGACGCAGCTGGGAGTTGACACTACAGGGGAGGATCAGCTGTACAGCTCTGTGTACATTCACTTATTATTTAATTTGTTTATGATTTACTGTAATAATTTGCCTTCTAATTAATGCAGGACAGGTAACTCTAAAGGTACACGAGCAGCGATAGTTTGTGTGTGTGTGTACCATCATTCCTTAGTACCCTTAGAGTACCCCTCCTCTCCTCTGGGTACCCTCAGGGGTACCCTCAGAGTACCCTAGTCGCCTCAGAGTGATGTTGGTGATGGTAGGGAAAAAGGTGGTAATTACATGCAGGAGGGCGGCTTGTGCTTCCTTAACAAGGTCATTAACAA